AAGAAAAGCCAGAGAGACTCCACTCTGGGCTGCTTGCTAGAGGGAATGGGAATGAAAGAAGCCATGGAAGGGGGAAAGCCACAACTCACAGGGGAGCCTTTAGAGTCCACTTTTCCCCACTCCCTGTCCACTGCCTCTTCCATTTGCTCCCCACTCAGTGGGCTACTGGTGGAGTCATGACTCAGGCTTGCTAGAAGTGTGAACTACTAGCTTGAAGGAAGTTTTTGAAATTAAACAAAGAGTAAATTGTGGCCTGAGCTCACTCATCTCTTATCTGTATAGCCACCAGAATTTAGGCAACATTACAGGATGATATTTAATGTCAATATTTTGACTGCTTCCATCAATGACATATTATCCCAGCCAGAGTAAGAGCAAATGAGCTACAATAGTTACTCCTTTGAGAGCCAGCATGGTGTAATGGTTTTTGTGTTGGACTAGGACACTGGGAGACCTGGGTTCAAATCCTTGCTCAGCCATGGAAACCTATCTGGTGACCTTGGGTAGGTCACATTCTCTCAGTCTCAGAGGGAGGCAAAGCCAAACCCCCTTTGGACAAATCTTACCAAGAAACCTGAGTGATAGGTTCACCTTAGGGTTGCCACGAGTCACAAATGACTTGCAGGCACACAACAAGAAGACACACCTCTTCCATGTTACCTTAATTATTACCTCTAAAGAAGGGATGTTGTTGTGAATTGCCTGCCTCAAAGTCCTGTGCAGTTGATGCAGTCTCTCCCAACCTCTCTCTCACTGAGTAGAGTCCAGTTAGCACCCTGTTTATTTGGGACATCAGGCTATCATGGGTCCATCTTATGGTATCCTGGGATTTGTAGTTTCATGAAGCATTTGCAAGTCTTTGCCAAAGAACTCTAGCTCTTACTCTAAGAGACTAAAGGTACCCCTTCCCTCCGTCTGGTGGGCATAATTAACCTTTGCCAGCCTATTTGCTTGGCACAATACAAGTAACATAGCACCACTCCCCTGACTTGGGCACACTACTTAGATTGTGGTAAGATTACTAGATGGCCATAGAGAGCAATCTCATCACTGTGGCTTTGTTTATTTTCAGTTGTGTTGGTCTGAAATGAGGACCCATGGGTTCTGGAGCAGCATAATCTACCAAAGAAGGATGAGCAAATGCCTCATCGCTGAAGGAGAGTTTGATTAAAGCAACTTTGAACAAAACAAACAAAACTGATAATCACAGGCCTTGGAAAAGTCACTTTTTAAGGATGAGGATGACTAAGGGCCTTTGCAGACTGCCAGAAATAGTGCACATTAAATTGAGGCACTGCCCTGGCTCAGTACTAGGGAATAATGGGAACTGTAATTTATTGTGGCACCAGAGCTCTCTCACAGAGAAGGCTCAATGTCCCAGAAAAAAATACAGTTCCCATGATTCCCTAGCACTGAGCCAGGGCAGTGCCTCAATTTAATGTGCACTATTTCTGGCAGTCTGCTTAGGCCCTAAGTCCACAAAAGTTACATTCCCAACATCTGGATTTATTCAACTACTTCTGAAGAAGCCCTCCTTGGACCCAAATGATTGTGTCAAATATCTGCCAGTTGTAAACCTCTCTCCTTCTAGGATAAATGCTCCACTTCTCTTGCATCATCTTATAATTTTAACAGCTATAAAAATGTTGTCCCACTCCAGAGCTGAAACAGAATAGGCCTGAAGGCTTGCTCCATCCCAGAAGTGTCCTAAATCACAGGTGGTAATCATGTAGTCTTCCTGGACTACAACTCCCAGTATTCCTCCTAACTGGCTAAGCTGGTTAGAGCTGTTGGGAGTTGCTGGGAGTCCAGCAAAAACTGGAAGATCACATGAGTCCAATTCTGGCCCTAAATCCAGTTGCTGATCCTAACTAGAGTCAACTTATTGAATCAATCGTTGTATAATATACCAACACATAGTAAATCCAATTGGTACAATGGATCCACTTTAAAATTAGCAATTGAATTTAGTACATTGCTGTAATTTGCTTGATGAAAAATATCATTTAAAACTGAGGATTTTTAAGAGAAAAATCTGTCACACTAGGTGCTAGTGGTTTGAGAGTGAGCATATTTGGCAGGCTTGAATAGAAACCCACCCTTCACCCTGGGCCCTGGAGCCAAAGGAGTAGATGGTAGAGAACCCCAGGCACAAGATGGGACTGTCTGTGGCTATTTTAAGCTTCTGAACACCAGCTCTGGAGCTGCATCTGTCAAAATCACTTAGCAGCCAAGGCTGGGGTTCCAGGAGGCCAGGATCAGAGAACCAGGATTCCAGCATTGCACTTGCAGCAAAATGAGGGCCAGGATTGTCCAGGATTTCTTCTGCCCCAACAGCCCTCCACAGACAGTTAAAGCTTAGGAATGTGTTTCCTTCAACATCTGAGGATAAGGAGCCTTAGCTTTCAAGTGCACTTGAAGAGATTTCTTGGTCAGACTGGATTCTCCATCTGCTTTCTCTCTTTTGTATGTTTTCCTGACCCTCATGAAAAAGAAGTAGAATCCAGTAAAGAGACAGGCTTTCTCAGTGTGAGATGCTTTAGATGCAGCATACTTTAACCCTCATACTGCCTTACACAGAACTATGGTACTTCCAAGTAATACAAGGGAGGTTGCAAAATGGCTGCTTCTGCATGGAAGATTGATTGGTCTGGAGTAGCTAATATGAATAGGCAATGAGGGAGTAGTGATTTCCCCTTGATTAATGAACCTGAAATACATGGGAATTACCTGGTATCCACAAAGAAACAGTGGAAGACATTTGCCCTGTGCAACACTTCAAGTCATGGTTGCAGATGTACTTAAGAGGTGGAGATGATTGCTATTAACTGCCCTCAAGTTGACTGACTCATGGTGACCCATGAATTAGACACCTCCCATATCCCCTGTCTTCAACCACGCTATTCAGGCACTGTAGGTTCAGGGTCATGGCTTCCTTGATTGAGTCCATCCATTTGATATGTGGTCTTTCTCTTTTCCAGCTGCCCTTCAGCTTTCCTAGCATTATTGTCTTTTCTAGTGAGCCCTGACTTCTCATGATGTGGCCAAAGTATAACAACTTCAGTTTAGTAATCTTGGTTTCCAGGGAGAGTTCAAACATGATCTGTTCTAGGACACATTCGTAGGTCTTTTTGGCCGTTCACAGTATCCTCAGCACTGTTCTTCAGCACCAAATCTCAGAAGAGTTAATTTTCTTTCTGTTTACTTTCTTCATCACACAACGTTCACTTCTGTACATGGTAGTGGGAAATGTGATGGTTTGGATGATCCTAACTTTAGTGTTCAGTTGTATATCTTTGCACTTCAGGATCTTGTCTAGTTCTTTCATCACTGCCCTTCCCGTTCCTAGTCTTCTTCTGATTTCTTGACTGCAGTCTCCATTCTGACCAAGTATTGATCCAAGATATGGGAAATCTTTGACTATTTCAATTTCTTCATTGTCTAGACTGAATTTATGTAAATCCTCTCTGGTCATTATTTTTGTTTTCTTATTGTTCAACAGTAAACCTGCTGCACTTTTCTCCTCAATCTTCTTCAATAATTGTTCCATGTCTTTGTTGCTTTCTGCTAGTAGGATGGTGTCATCTGCATATCTTAGACTGTTGATATTCCTCCCTCTGATCTTCACTTCTCCTTCCTCCGTGTCTAAAACAGTGCTGTGTATGATATTTTCTGCATACAGCTTGAACATTTAGGATGATAGAATGCAGCCTTGTCTAACTCTCTTTCCAATTGGGAACCAATCTGTTTCTCTGTATTCTGTTCTAATGGTAGCCTCATGTCCAGGATTATGTATCAGAGCAATCAAATATAATGGTACACCCATTTTTTTAAGGTCAGTTTATAGTTTTTCTATGATCTATGCAATCAAAGACTTTGCAGTAGTCTATGAAGCACATACTATTTTCTTCTGGATTCTCTGATGGACTCCATTATCCAGCACATGTTTGCAATGTGATCCCTAGTGCCTCTTCCTTTTCTGGACCCAGTTTGCACCTCTGGTATTTCTTGGTCCATATATGGTAGCATTTTTACTGCAGAATTTTGAGTATAACTTTGCTTGCATGGCGATTAGTAGAATAGTCTTGTACTTGCTACGATATTTGTGGGGTTTTTTTGGGGGGGATAGGAATGTATATTCATCATTTTGAGTCTGTGGGCCATTGTTCTGTTTTCTATATTTCTTGGCAAATTTTAGTTAGAACTAATGTCTTGGGAGATTATAGCACTTCTGTTGGTATGTCATTTGTTTCTGGTGATTTATTCTTCCCAATTGCTTTGAGTGCAGCTTTCACTTCACTTATCAAAATTTGGGATTCATATTTGTATGATTCTTCTTCTCATGTGTCATTCATCCCTTTGTAAATGTGAAGAGGTAGAGGGAGAAAGGTGGAATAAGCATAATAAAAAAAGAGTGAAATCTCTCTCTCTCTCTTTTTCATTTTTAAAGGGTAATTTGCTGCCCAGAGCCAACATGGTACAGTGGTTTGAGTGTTGGACTTTAAGGACTCCAAGAGACCAGAGTTCAAATCCCTGGTTGGCACAGCAAACCCACTGGGTAGCCTTGAGCAAGTTGCATTCTTTCAGTCTCAGGGGAGGGCAATGGTAATTGTGCCACAAAAACTCCATGTCATGTAGATTCACCCTAGAGTCAGAAATGAAGGCAAACAACAACAACAGATTTTTTGGGAGTGGCACACTACCAATGAATCAAGTCACTCTTCCTTTCATTGTCTCTCATTTCTCTTCTCTTGCTTCATTCCTGCCTAAGCTTGGCTTTGCAAACCCACTCCTTCCAGTATAGTCCAAAAATGTACGGTACCTTCCTCAAATTCTCATCTCAGTCAACTGGAGGATGGGTGTAGAAACCAATCAGTCTTGTCAGAAGCCTACAGCTGTGGTATGATCCCTTCCGCTGAACTGATGGTCAGACTAGTTTTGGGGAGGGACGTTACTGTAACTTCTCAGAAAGGAAGAAAGTATATATGAGAGACAGAAAGTAAGTAAAGAGTAATATTTTAGCTAAAAGTCCCAGGCTTCTGTTGATTTCATTTAGGAATATCTAGAGCACTTACCAATTAAAGAAATCTTCATTGATGAATTCTATAAGTTTTCGTTGATTAACTAGTTGTATCTACAGAAATATGTATATGGATAATACATTAGTTGTTTTTAAAAAAATATTAATTTCAGTTCCACAAATAATACTAAATCAACAACAACAACAAAATGCTCAAACAGGCTTAGGATGACACATTAGTTTAAAAGAGGAGAATCATTCTTTTTTTGTTTTGTTTTGGAATGTTGCACATTTCTGTCACAGTAGCTGCCATCTTAGAAGATGCATTCCAGCCTGTCAGAAAGAAAAGCAGTAGTTTGGGGTATTTGTATTGTTAATATGGTACATTGGCACATATATTTATAATAATAAAAATGTGTCTTCATGCCACCCACCCATGCCACAGCTATACTTGTGAAGGGTTGGAAAGGATCTGTTGTACTTTCAGCATTAAACTGTTCTTACCCAAATGCCAGGGCCCCAAGAAGGCACCCACCATTAATATTCAATGGGGGCATTTTATTAACTCAATTGAAAGCAGTGAAAGGGGTCGGGCAACTTAATGCAGGGATCTAGCGTGTGTATACCAGTTCTAGAAACATAACTCCAGATTCAAATTAGTTTTATTTATTAATTGGAAGGAAGTCACCATCCACACAAAAACACTCTCTCACGCACACATCCAAGAACTAATGATACAGAAGGCAGTAGCAGGCAGTGAATTATGGAAGTTTAGCAGGCAATACTATACCAATTTCAGAAGTGGAACTCCAATCGGGGGGGGATACCATAAAGTGAAGTGGCTCAGCAAGCTGCCTAGGGATTGTGGCATGACCAGCAAGCTGAGGAGTCAAGCAAGATGCAGACAAAAATGGTGTCTGACCTCAAGCGAGATGGAATTAGTGGTACCCAGCAGGTATATTTATAGTGCAAAACCTATCCCAATGAGAATTTGGGATCAGAGTGGATTTTTCAAGAAGGGAGAATGGGAAGGGAAGTTGGGAATGATCAGACAATCATTGCAAATGTCCCTTGACAAAGGAATATCACTCCCAGAGGGAGGTATTCTTGGATTTCTGTTCACTTGTAAACACAAGGTCTATCATTCACAATTACTCCTATCAGCAAAGGGATTATACAGATTCCAGTCCTGATGGATCTATCCTTGGCAATGTACTCTTGCACTTCCCTCATGCTGAGCCTCCCAGATCCCCAAATATGAACCCGGATTGTCTTATATGGCACGGTTGTTTTTCCACACTGGGGGTACCCTTTCAGCTACATGCCTTAGACAGTCCCTTATATCCACTTAGTATCAGAAAAGAGTGAGGGTGAAAGGAGGTTAGATATTGGGGTAACAGAGTAAAGCAGTTTGGACATCATGACAGACACTGATTGCATCCAAAAGTCATCCAGGTTGCGGTGTGGACTTTCAAGTTGAATTTCAAAACTGAGTGGATGCAAAGAGGGCTTTAGAAACAAAACAAAAAAGAGAGAAACACCACCAAGGAATACCAGGTGTTGTACAAAGATATGGCTGTGTTAGTAAGGAACCACGGGAATTTTTTTTTTTCTGAGACATTGAGCCTTCTCTGTCAGAGAGCTCTGGTGCCACAATAAAATACAGTTCCCATGATTCCCTAACCCTAACCCTTAAAGTGGGCTCAATTTGCACTATTTCTAGCAGTCTGCAAAGGCCCTAAATGAAAGAAAGAAATTGGCAGCATGAACTTTCATAGACTTCAGTCCACTCCTTCAGATGCATTTGGTGGAGTGGAAGCCAGGCACAGACATATATATGCCATTTGTATGTGAGGATGTTGATTCACATTACAAATCCTTTGTATATGGAAATAAAGTTGCAGGTGCAGTGTTAACAATGGTCATTAGTGCACAAAAGCCTAGGAAACTGGTCTTTGTTCACGGGGATGAACTGGCAGATCCAGTTTTGCAATGGGACTAGCCTGGGGTGAGGGGAATGGATGGATGTAGGGCACCCCCATGAGGATGGGTCAGATAGTGTTGAAGTGTGTGTAGTGAGTCAGGAGACCATTGTCTTTGTTTAATCCATTGTTGAAGGACTGTAGTTTGTGGACATATTCCAATTCTGCTGTTTCTTTTTCCAATCTTTCTTTGTAGTCCTTTTGTTCAAGGTCCGCTGTTCTAAGGTCTGAGATTGAAATGTTCTGCCACCGGTTTTAGGGGATCCCCATTCCTAATGTCTGATTTATGTCTATTTATCCTCTGGCACGGGGACTGGCCTGTTTGCCCAATGTAGAGTACTGAAGGGCATTGTTGTAGGTTATATTACTAACAAGACCACCACTGGGTATTCTCTGCCAAAGAAATCCCTATGAAATTCATGGGGTCACCATTAGTCGACAGGCAACTTGATGGCACGTACACCGCTCATCTTCACTTTCACAGCATCACCCACTTTTCACTTTTTTAAAACTAATCACCCTCCCTATATAAATTCATCATTAGACAATCCACATGTGTCACCCAGTCTTCACACACACACATACACACACCCCTAGGCTTGCTTACCATTGGGACGCTGTGGCAGATGCTTCATAAAAAAAAGGCATGGGAATATAGGAGTCTCTGTGGACTCCTCTTGGCATATTAGATATAGACCCACTTGGTATGTTTCATCCAGAAAACATGAGAGGGCTCTCTGAGGTACTGATATGATTCCTCAGGCAAGAAAAAAGGCAGGAAAACAGGAGAGGGCTCTCTGAGATATGGTTGATAGGATTCCTGAAGTAAAAATGGGGTCCAGGAACACAAGAGGTGAGAAGTTATTGAATACAATCCCAGACAGTGGCAGGCACATTTAATAGAAAAATAATAATAATTAACCATTCTTCAAAAGTGTTGTCCAATTTGAAGTCGTAGGCTTTCATGGCAACCTGATTGCACACATGTAAATAATAAGAATACATAGTTTTTTGTGGGTTTTTCGGGCTGTGTGGCCATGTTCTAGAAAAGTTTCTTTCTGACGTTAATTAGACTTAATTAATTAGACTTTAGAGGGCACCTTTTTAGTTGGCAAAATGCTTAAATTCTGCAGTTCTAATTGATTAATTGGCTGAAGGCTACAGACCTGCTTATTTCATATGTCATTGTCATTGTTGTTGTTTGTCTTCAAGTCATTTCCAACTTCTGGCAGCCCTAAGGTGAACCTACCCTGGGGTTTTCTTGGCAAGATTTATACAAAGGAGGTTTGCCATAACCTTTCCCTGAGGTTGAGAGTGTGTGACCTGCCCAAAGTCATCCAGTGGGCCTCATGGCCAAGCTAGGAATCAAGCTCTGGTCTCTAGAGACATTCTTTTGCACCTGAGCTTTGTTAGCTGAGCCTCAAGCTGAGACGTTTAAGGCAAAGTTTGGAGCTAAAAGATGGCTGTCCAGCTTCAGAAGTTTGTTAAGAGGACTAGGAGGAAAGGGCACAGGTGTGTAGCAATGGAAGGCAAAATATTACCCCTGTAAATAAGATTTCTACCCCCCCCCCTTTTCCTTCAGTCCTTAAAGTGACCAAAGATATGCAAGCATAGCAAACAGAAGAATCTTAGATGTGAACTATTTCTAATGTCTTAAGCTCTGCAATGCTAAAAATTTAGGGGCTGAAGGAAGATTTCATGGAGGGAGGGAGAATTCTTATTTAGGGCACTTATTTCATGACCCTTTCCATAGATATATTCCTGAGGAGCAAGAAAGGACCTTTCAGCAACCTTTTTTGCCAGGGGGGCGGGGGGGAATGGCATGGGGGGGCGGGCGGGTGCACACTCACACATGCGCACAACGCCTACCATTATACGCATGCATGCGCGCGTGGGGGGTGCCATTTTGGAAGGCCCGATGACGCTGTGCGCATGCACACTGCGCCATTGGGCCTTCCAAAATGGCACCCCGCATTGCAAAAGGAGCATTTTGGAAGGCCCCACGGTGGCTGTGCCATGCGAATTCGCACGCCGCAGCCGCCATGGGGCCTTGGGAAGGCCCCATGGGCACAGGCGCGGTGGGCCTTCCCAAGGCCCAACAGTGGCTGCACAGCCACCGTGGGGCCTTAGAAGGCCCCACGGGGCAGGCGCAGTGGGACCTTCCCAAAGCTTAACGGCGGCTGTGCCATGCAAATTTGCACAGCACAGCTGCCGTGGGGCCTTCCAAAAATGGCACCTGCACTTGCACGCGGGGCGGTAGCACGCATGGAGCGGCAGCACTGGCAGTGCCGCCGCCAGCGGGACCAGCCATGGGCCGGTTCCGAGGCCTCGACGGGCCAGGTTCGGCCCACAGGCCATAGGTTGCCAACCCCTGCCCTAGTCTAACTTCTTTCTCTCAGTTAGTCTCACAGGTGCAACAATATCCCTTTGTATATCCAGAAACCCTGTGCATCTTGGACTACTCTCTCTCTCTCTCTGTGATGCATTTTCAAGTAATTTCTGACTTATGATGACATTAAGGTCACAGGGTTTTCTTGGCAA